GATTTGGGAGCAAAGGCATACCATCTTCAGCAAATAATTGTTGTTATATTGTTGCTGGATACTTTTATTGTTTCCAAATTTTACCTATTATAAAGAGCACACACAAACAAGAGAGGAATATATACTTATGTGTAGAATTGCTGGAAAATGCCTATCTATAACTTAAATAATGCCAAAATATATTCCAAAATGATTATACAAATTTACACTGCCACTAGGAATCCAAGACATTTCCTGTTACTCTACATCCTCAATAATACATACTGTCTTCACATTTTAAAATGTTTTGCACTCTGGTGGATGGTTAATGCTATTTAACTGTGGTTTGAATGTTTTAATTTCCCTGGTTACCCTTACATTTTATGGATCCCATTTTGATAACCATTTTGTGGGGGGGATTACCTGTTTTAAGTATTTCTATTGGGTTGTCTGCCATTTATTTCTGGTTAGTAGGAGTTTTTAATATGCTCTGGAAGATAGTCCTTTGATATTTATGTATGTTGCAAATATCTCCCTCTACTTTGTGGCTTGTCTATGATTTACCTTGCTGAATACATTAAGTATTCCATATTCTTAATTTTTTCCATATTCTCTCTGTCTTGGACTGAGAATGGTATGTTAGAATCTCCTTTTATTACTGTGTTACTATTTATGCTTATACCTCCTGTGGTTTCTGCTTTACGTGTTTCTATATGTTATTTGGCACAAAGTTGTTCTTATGTGAATATTATTACTTTTGCATTATGAAGCATCTTTCTTCAGCTCATTTAATGCCTTTGTGGCCTGAATTCTTCCTTACTGCATATCAAAATACTCTGCTTTCTTTTTGTTTGCATTTATTTGATATTCTCCATTCTCGACTCCCCTCGTTTTTATCTGCCTTTCTGAGTCACTTTGTTTTAGATAAATCTCTTATGTACAGCCTAGAGTTGGGTTTTGATTTGTAAGCTAGTCTGAAAGTCTTTTTTATTTAGTTAGATGACCTATGTCCATTTATATAATTAATATGACATGTTTAGTCTCAGATTTGTCATTTTATTTTATATTTACCATGTGTCTTCTACTATTTATTTGGGGGTTTTTTTTGTCCTCGTATTTAGAAAGATTTGTATTTTTGTTTTAATATTTACCTTTATAGTAATACACTTATGCTAGTATTTTTGGCCCCTCTTTTTTCCTTTTTTAAAAATTGATACTTCTGCTTTTGATTTGGTATTTCTAAAATTATGCTCTGACTCCTCCTTATTATATTCGAGGCAATCAGAAAACTTGTTCTACTTTCACCTTTTTCCCTCCCTTTTCTTCTCATTTATTTTCAGTTTGTGTTATTTCTACTTTGTCAAGCAATATAACATTTTTGTACTGTTCACTTAGTCCTATCCCCTCACTTTTGTTTTAGTCTCAGAACTATAATTAAATATGTTCAACACTTAACTGCCAATTATTTTGCAGAAGATTTTTCAGTGATTTCTTGGTTGGATGAAACTCAACCTATACTAGGAAAAGACCCTGAGCACAATATTCCCTTAGTTCTTGCACATTTAAAACTTTCTCTAAAGCAAGGATGGGCAAACATGATGGTCTGCATCATGCTTAGTAAGGCCTGTGAGCTAGGAATGTGTTTTATGTTTTTAAAGAGTTGAAAAAAAGAGGAATATATGACAGAAACCATATGTGGCCCACACATATTTATTTACTCTCTGGCCGTTTACAAAAAAAGTGTGCTAATGCCTGCTCTAGAGCCTTCATACTTTACTACTTGAAGGATAGCTTGAATGGCTGTAAAATCCTTGGCTTATTTCCCTTGAGTTTCTTGTAAATATTGCACTACTGATGTCTTGCTTTATATGTTACTATTTAGAAGTGTGCCAACTTGATTTTCTTTTCTTTGTAAACAGACTTGAGTATTTTTGCCTGGAAGGTCAGAGAATTCCTTTAATGTGTAATAGTTTTAGCAGGCTATATCTCAGTTAAGAATTGTAGGTCAGATTTTTCTAGGTACACAGTGGGCCCTTTCAATATGAAAATCAGAAATCAGACATTGTTTTATTTCAAGGATGTTTTCTAAAATTGTAATTTAAATAGATCTGTTTCATTGTTTTGTTTTGTTTTGTTTTTCTTTCAGGGGTAACAATTAGTCTTATCTTAGATCTTGTTTACCTTTATATCTGCCACTTTCATTCTGATCCATTTTACTCTTTTCATTATGTTTCACTTTCTTGGCTCCTTTTATTTCTATTCTGTGTTTTTCTTACTATATATTTGGTCATATATGTTCCATCGTGGACACCTGCTAATTTATTCATTTCTGAGATAATTTCTTTTTCTTTATTTCTTGAGTTTGGTCAATTTTCATTTCACACCTTCCTATTGTTTTCCATTTTTATTACAAATTTTAAAATTTCTGTTTTATAGTGTTCATTAATATCTGCAAATGCTTAATTATTTTTAATCTATGTTGGGAGCATTGTTAAGTTTTTCTCTGCTTCATGGTTGTGTTTGTTTTGATTTACTGCTCAGTTTTGAGGTTTTCTTCATAAGTAACTGCGTGAGTGCTAGATTATTTTACAGATGTTCATGTTTATTTGCATTGGATTTTTCCATTATCAGTAATAACAGGTGTTCTTACAGAGGAACAGGGAGTGAGTGGTGTTTTGGTGGCTTACTGTGTTTCTTAAATCAGGAGCACCCTCTTCTGTTACTGTAGTGAAATTCAGTTATTATTATTTTTTTAATTTTAATTTTAATTTTTTTGAGATGGAGTCTCACTCTCTTGCCCAGTTTAGAGTGCAATGGCACGATCTCAGCTCCCTGCAACCTCCGCCTCCCAGGTTCAAGTGACTCTTCTACCTCAGCCTCCCAAGTAGCTGGGATTACAGGTACCCACCACCATGCCTGGCTCATTTTTGTATTTTGTAGAGATAGGGTTTCACCATGTTGGCCAGGCTGGTCTCGAACTCCTGACCTCAGGTGATCTGCCTGCCTTGGCCTCCCTAGAAATGCAGCTATTTATGTTTCTTTTTTTTTTTATGTAAATGGGGCCTTTTGGGGAAATGGGTGTATTTTCTTTGGATTCTTTTCCACTAGCTTAGTTCCGTGGAGCTCTTGTCTTGGCTTTGTCTTGGCTATTTTCTTATTTTTTTCTTACCAAACTGGCTCCCAAGGACATATCTCCCTTCCAAAGCATTTTCTTCTCTCCCAGACGCTATGTCTTCCCATGATTACTGCCTCTGACTCCCTGTGTTTTTCAAATCCTTTCTTTTGAATTCCTCATAGAATCTACCAGGTTTTTTTTGTTTTTTGTTTTTTGTTTTTTGCTCTATTTTTCCACTTCAGGTAGAGCCCTCTCTTTCCAGACTAATTCGTGATTGGTATTTCCTATTATTTATGTACAGTGCTGACACATAGTCCACATCTGACTCTCTGCTCAGATGTGGGCTCCTGACTACACTCTGATCTAGTAGTCTTTATTTCCTCACTTATAGGTAAAGGATTCTGTGCCCAAGTTATGTTGTAGGCATAAATTTGGGTGGTTTTACTTGGCTTCTTTTTATGGTAGTTTGGAAGATTTGTGGAGCAATTCTAATATAGGTGGCTGCCATTATCCTGTGGGATCTCAACTCTATAACATAACAAAATAAATAAGCTAGAAAAATAATGCAGTACTCTGCCCTTTATCTACCATTCCAAGACCCCCCGTGGATGCCTGAAAACACAGATAGAACTCAACTCTATATATACTGTATATACTGTATTTTTCCTATACATATATACCTATGACAAAGTTTAATTTATAAAGTAGGCCCAGTAAACAGTAACAAAAACAATAACTAATAATAAAATAGAACAATTATAACAATATACTATTATAAAAGTTACGTGACTGTGGTCTCTCTCTCTCTAAAAATATCTTATTGTACTGTACTGTGGGTAACTGAAAGCACAGAAAGTGAAACTACAGATAACGGGGACTAATTGTAAGACAAACAAAATAGAAGTGAGAGCTTGATGAAGATAAAAGTGAAAACTAATGAGGTACAGAAGCATAATTGAAAACAATTCAAGATCAATAAAGTGATAGTGGGACAAACATCAACATGGTAAGGCTTGAGGTAATTTATCAGAAAAGGGTAGATATTAGACTGTTCTCGCACTGCTATAAAAAAAAAAAAAACCTGAGACTGGGTAGTTTATAAAGAAAAGAGGTCTAATTGGCTCATGGTTCTGCAGGCTATACAGGAAGCATGGTATCATCTGTTTCTGGGGAGGCCTCAGGGAGCTTTCAGTCATGGTGGAAGGCAAAGGCGGAGCAAGGCTGGAGCAGGAGGAAGGGGTGGGGGAGGTGCCACACACTTTGTAAATGATCAGATCTCACGAGAACAAGATCTCACGAGAACAAATTCACTATCAGGAGAACAGTATCAATGGGGAAATCTGCCCCCACGATACAATTACCTACCACCAGGCCCCACTTCCAACAGTTGGGGATTATAATTCGACAGGATATTTGGATGGGTACACAGATCCAAATCATATCAGGTAGAAACACAAAAATTAGGAAAGATGGAGGCAATAGAAACACAAACACAGAGGAGATAAGATATATTAGAATAAAATGTAAAATTATCTGCTAAAATCTGACATGTGACAGAACTACCAATTTTCTAAGCAAATATAATCAAAATTGACTCAAGATGAAAACAGTATCAGTAGCCATCTTAGAAAATATTTAAAGTTATCATAACAGGTAACTGAGACCAGAAATCATGTTTAGAAAGAAAAATAACAGTTTTTTTTAAAATTTTAAGTTTGAAGTACTTGTATATAATGTCCAAGTAATAGAATACAGAGACTGGAACATGGAGAGAATCTGTAACTATAAATACAAAATGGAGTTCATCACCACTATGTAAAAAGAATGCATTATCAAATACCAATGGGCAAGTGAAAAAAGAATGTGACAGTCTAGCCGATCTTACTCATTTCATGTTTGCTTACAGATAGGTGAAAAAGAGTACATCACCCTACCAGATCACCCTTCACTTCATTGTCAACCTGTTCTTTCTTCAAGAATAATTGATATCTCTTTATTACCAACTGAAAGTAAGTATAGTGCAATCGTAAGTACAGATGATTCTGTGAGGTAAAGTAAATAATGTTAATGGGGAATTATTGTTTAATGGGTATAGAGTTTCAGTTTGAGAAGATAAGTTCTGGAGATGGGGTGGTGGTGGTGATGGTTTCACAACAATGTGAATGTACTTAATGCAGCTGAACTGTACATTTAAAAATAGTTTAAATGGTAAATTTTGTTATGTAATATGTTCTACTACAATAAAAAAGTTAAATTATAGGAATTTTATTTTTATTTTATTTTTTTTAGACAGAGTTTGACTGTGTTGCCCAGGCTAGAGTGCAGTGGCGCAATCTTGGCTTACTGCAACTTTCACCTCCGGGTTCAAGCATTCTCCTGCCTTTGCCTCTGCGGTCACTGGGACTACAGGTGCCCACCACCACACCTGGCTAGGCTAATTTTTGTATTTTTAGTAGAGACGGGGTTTCACTATGTTGGCCAGGGTGGTCTCAAACTCCTGGCCTCAAGTGATCCACCGGCCTTGGCCTCCCAAAATGCTGGGATTATAGGCGTGAGCCACAGCACCTGGCCCAGGAATTTTATATTTATTACTACATATGTTTAGTCACTAACATTATTTCATTTTAAAATATATATTCTAGCCGAGCATGGTGGCTCATGCCTATAATCCCAGCACTTTGGGAGGCTGAGGTGGGTGGATCACAAGGTCAGGAGTTCGAGACCAGCCTGGCCAACATGGTGAAACCCCATCTCTACTAAAAATACAAAAAAAATTAGGTGTGGTGGCAGGTGCCTGTAGTCCCAGCTACTCAGAAGGCTGAGGCAGGAGAATCGCTTGAACCCAGGAGGTGGAAGTTGGAGTGAGCCGATATCATACCACTACACTCCAGCCTGGGCAACAAAGTGAGACTCCATGTCAAAAAAATATATATATATATATTCTAAAATATACATTTTCTATGTACAATTTAAGTACAATAATTTTGAATCCCGGATACATTTACCAAAAGAGTTAAACCAAAGCATATCAGCATAACTGCTTGAGCTTTACCTAGTTTCTACACATATATGAAATGCAGAAAAAAACACACTATTTTATAAATCCCCTTATATATCACTCTCGGAAACTAAAATGACTCCTTTGCATTTTCCACATGGTAAATGCTATACTGTAGCAAGAAAAACAGTTTGGGATAAAATTTATTCTTGCTGCTTTAGACATTTTTAAGTTTTACACTCCATATTTTAGGATATGAGCCATCTTTCAGCTTTGAGACATTGACGAATATGAGTTATAATCTCTTTAGGAGAGAAGATTATCAAACAAATGAAACAAGTAAAGGAAGAAAGAAGGTATCTGGAAAGAAATAGAGAAGAACTAGTAAAAACAGTTGAAAAGCTATTTGAACAAAGCAAATTAAAACGATATCATGGTAAAGTTTATTACATACCTTTTATCACTATAAAGAAAACTTAAGTTTTACAGAATTAATCATTTTAGAATAAATAAATTTATAATTAATATTTACTGTTTTACTATTTTAGTTTAAGTGATACATGATTAAGTTCAATATAGAAAACATGAAATTATTATTCAACTCTATACAATAAATGCTTTACATAGGGTTTTTAAATTAAAACAAATATTTTCATAACTGAAACTCATTTACTTGTTTATTAATTCTTCTATTCATTTATCAAACCCCTGTTGAATCTGGCCACTATTCTAGGGGCTTAGGAAACACTATTAAGACAGACACAATCTTGTCCCTGCCCACATAGATCTTACAGTCCAGTGGGGAAATGATAAGCAAGTTAAGCATTAATGATACATCCTTGCCAGCGTAGTGGCTCATGCCTGTAATCCCAGAACTTTAGGAGGCCCAGGCAGGCAGATCATTTGAGGTCAGAAGTTCGAGACCAGCCTGGCCAGCATGGCAAAACTCCATCTCTACCAAATATACAAAAATTAGCCTAGCCGGGTGTGGTGGTGGGCACCTGTAGTTCCAGTGATTGCAGAGGCTAAAGCAGGAGAATGCTTGAACACGGAGGCGGAAGTTGCAGTGAGCTGAGATTGTGCCACTGCACTCCAGCCTGGGTGACAGAGCAAGACTCTGCCCCCAAAAATGTATATATATTTTGTTATGTGATATGTTCTACTACAATAAAAAAGTTAAATTATAGGAATTTTATTTTATTTTATCTGACTCTGTTGTCCAGGCTAGAGTGCAGTGGCATGATCTCAGCCACTATGATAAAGGAATTACACAGTTCTATGGATAGGAATATAAAGGAAGAACACCTAAATTAGATGGAAGAGATCAAGAGAGTCTTCCAGGAAAAGTGTTGGATATGCTAGGATCTGAAGTATGCTTCTTGGCTCTAGGTCTTTGGGCATGCTTTTCCCTCTGCCATCTACTTCTCCTCTTACCTTGAGGTACCCTCTTCCCAGTTTACCTGTCTATTTCCTATTAGTCATTCAAGAGCACCTTATATATTACTTACTGTAGAAGACTACTTTGAGTCCCTTGGACTCTTCTGTACTTATTTTTTTGATATGTGTATGTGTCTGCCTTGCTTTTAAAAGTCAGTGAATGAGGGAAGTTAAGTAAGTTTTCTTGCAGTACAATTAGAAACAGTGTTGTTAGGACTGGTGGACTGATGAGGCAGGATGAAGACAGTACATGATGGTGGCTTAAGAGTTGCTAAATGATTTGAGAGGCCTCCGTTTTGGGTTGTGTTTGAGGATTGTAAGGATAAAAGGTATCTATGGAATTAAGTGGTTTTAGGATTCTCAATTTACAGCAAAATTGTTTCAACACTAGAACTGACTGAAGGTTATAGACAGTGTCAGGAGATATTTCTCAAGATTCTGCCTTACAATGTGTTATCCTGAAAGTGGTAGCAATGAGTCAGCCTTGTTGTAGTGTTAAACAAGCAATTTTATCAGACAGATTTGAACAGTGGACTGAAAATCACAGGACCAGGATTGTAACACCAAATCTGTCTTTTAGACAAGTTATTTCCCCTCTTTGTGCCTCACCTTTTCTGTTTATGAAATGGGAATGGTCCATCACTTCCTATTTCAACAGAAATATTTCAAGATAAAAGGTATGTATTGGCCATAAAATATTTATTGAGCCTACTACATGGCAGGCAGTGTTTTAAATGCTGGGGATACAGCAGTGAACAAGACAGACATGGCTGTGACCATAAGGAGCTTGCTTCCCTATGGGAAGAGACAGACAATAAACAAGTAAGACAATATTAGCTTTGATCAGAGCTGAGAATTCAATTAAAAAGAGCATAGTAAAGAGTGATGAGGCAGGGAAGAGATGCTTTAGGTAGAATTTTCAGAGAAAGTATCTCTGAGAAGATTAAGATTTGATTAACAGGGAGGCAGTCACAAAGGGAACACTAAATATCAAGGTCAAGAAATAACAATGACCTTGTGGTATATTAAGGGCCTGAAATAAGACCAGTGCTGCTGATACACTATGTAAGGAGAAATGTAGAGGGGGATGAAATCAGAAAGGTCAGCAAGGAATAGATGGGCCAAATCAAAGATTTTGGATTTTATTGTAAGCAAGGTAGGAAGCCACTAGAGGATTTTGAGCTAGGGATTTATATGATTTTTAAAAACATTTTAGAAAGCTCAGAATGACTGCTGTATAGAATACCCTGTACAGGGGCAAGAATGAAAGCAGACCAGTTAGAAAGAGCATGCAGATTTCTTGGTAAAAGATGATATTGACTAAGGATATAGCATTGAAGAAGGTGGAATGTGCTAGATGCTAGAAGTATTTTGGCAGTAATACTGGTAGAAGTTGCTAAGGGATTGGATAATAGAGCATGAGATAAATAGCCAAAATCTTGAGCTAAAGTTCCATATAGCTATATAATTTTAATTAAATCACCTTATAAAGTAGAATTTTTAAATTTGAAATTTTTGTTTCTATGATAATCTAAAAGAAAGAAACTAAACAGATTCTGGTATACTGGCATATACTTTGTGTTCCTATTAAGTTTGTATTTAGAATCTCATTGATGTCAATGCAATTTGTTAAACTGATAGTGTTTAATTTCTAATGATTAATTTTGGATTAGTTTTCCATAATCATGGGAAAAAGTAACATATACATATTACTTTTATAGTTATATATGTTATATGTATATATGTTATACTGTTTTATATATATATCTGTTGTATATTACTATATATAACAAGTATATATATTGCTTTTATAATATATATTACTATTAAATGTATTACTTTTAGATATATTACTTTTATAGTAATGTATATTACTATTATATATATATATTTTACCATATTTCTACACAAGTTCTCTTATTATCCAAAAAACATTTCTTCCTCAGGTCTAATGACTTCAGTATATAAAGAAAGGAGAAGAGGAGAGAAAGAGAAAAATGGTTTAAATTGACATTAGCTCTAGGGTCCTTTCCAGGATGAAAAGTTGAATCCTTTAATATTCAAATGAAAGCCTTTGCTTTTTTTTTTTTTTATATATATATAGCCTATGACGGTTGGAAGAAAAAATACTTGGAAACAAAGAAAGTCACAGCATCAGTGGAGGAGGTTTTAACAAAACTTCGAGAAGATTTGGAACTCTACTATAAACAATTGCTCATGCAACTTGAAGCCAGGGAGATCAAGATGAGACCAAAGAATCTGGCAAACATCACAGACTCCAAGGTATTACTAAATGTGTCCCCCTTCAATTAGAGAAGTTCTGTTCAAAACACATGCTTTATAAGTGCTAGTAATATCACAAGATGCATTGGGCTGACTTTGACTTAAACTTGCTTAAAACAATAAAAAAAAAACTCATGACCTTATGTAATGGGAGGAGGATTACTGAGGAGATACAGTCAGCAGCTTAATGTTGCCTTTAAGGGGGCCTGATATTTCCTACCTATTATTTTCAGTGTTAATTTCATTGTAAGACTGCTTTTTCCAATGGTAGCAATAGAGTGGTCAATGGCAAGTAGGGCTTTATATCCCCAAACAAGGGAGAAACCTCTCTCTGAATCATGGAATATATAAATCTTTCCCTTTATCCTAGGTAAGGGATCAACTAGGCCTACCCCTGGATGAGAAATAGTTGCCAAGGAATGCTATATGCTGACTGACTTAGACTAATTAGGATTTACCTCTGTATCTGAGACAAGGTTCATTTCCTGACACCATGGGAAAGAGGCGAATACCTGATGAATTAGGGCAGGGGACAAACAGCATCTGCTATAATCCTGTTATTTGGTAGTGGCGGCGGGAGGACTTATAACACACAGGAATTTAAAGAAATTATGAAATTTTGTTCAGTTCTTTTTTTTGAGACAGCCTTGAATCAGAGACATGAAGTTTATTTTATTATTCCACCATGTAATTAAACAACAGACAAAAAAATTCAAGAGGGCATTTAACAATTTGATTTGGGTTAGATCAATCCCACTTATCCAAAAGTGATTTTAAAATATGTTAACTATGATTAAAAGTAAGGATTTAACTTTAGACAAGATGAAATATTAAAAGTTTATTATTTTAAATGAATTTAATATAAAATCCAAATAGGCTCAAGTAATGGTTTGTCCATAGTAGTTGGTACTTTTTTTTAGCATAGCTTATACTTTATCTTACTGTTTTATCAGTTCAATACAAGAATTTTTTCACAAAGCCAGTTTAAAACTCTTAAATAACTTCTTTAGAGAGGACCACTATAACTCATAAACTTTTCTGGACAAAAACCAAAAAGTCTTCTTATTTTAAATAGGTTTTCTTGTATTAAATGAGTTCTTGCATATAAAATATAGTATCATATTATTAAGTATTTTAAAATAATTCTAATCTGATTCAGCTGATAAAGCATTATGCCAATTTCTAAAGTCTTGCTAATATCTAAGATATTCCTTTCATAGTATTCCTTTCATAGTAATAGTTGTTGGTTTTTATGGTGCTAATTTAATGGTTACTTTAGAGAAAGTGTTCCCTAAAATTCGATAAATCAACAAAAACAAATAGTAATTTCTCCAAAGCAATTTAGTTTACTTTATGGAATAGGTTATTTTCATGATCTACTCTTTTGATATTTATCATTTCATAGTTTATGTTCCCAAGGCAGTTAAAAATAAAAATGTTTATGTGTTATACTAAATAAATGTCTATCTATGCACACAGAATTATCTGATAATCCAGATCACTGAGGTGCAGCATGCAATTGACCAACTTAAGAGAAAACTGGATACTGACAAAACGAAACTCACAGTAGAAGTTAAGGTAATTTACATTTTTCCTACTCAAATTATTATAATATTTATCTTGAAATAAAATATTTTGGTGTTTTAACTTTGGGTGTCAATAATATAAGGGTAGCAAGGATTGATTGTCTTAAAATCGTTATCTTAACAATAAAGAGCATGGGTGAAAAACAATACAAGAAGTAAAACTAAATCCTGTGAAAAGATGCATGATATAATAAGGCCCAAGTAAAATTTAATAGAATTTTACTAGGAAGAATTAAAGGAAAAAGAACCTGTGAGTCAATATATTCTCAAAAAAATTTTAAGTAGTTTTCCTGTATTAGAATTATTAAGTCTGATAAACCACTGAGCTCTTCTCTGAACTGACATTTAATTTTTTCATGGGTAATCATTTAATTTTTTCTGGTTATTTTCATATGTATTATATTATTTAAATATGAATAATGTGACTTCTACTAGATGTTAAGTTTCCTTCCGGGCAGAAACTATGCCTTAGTTAACTTTGTTTCTCCCATGGGACCTTTTGTATAACAGATGCTTAGTAGAGGCTTCTGGGCATGCTTTATTTGGTGAGAATTGTGTACAACTAATTACATCATATAAATTATCTGTGAAGTACTGATGTATTAAAAAGCTTTTTTGTTGAACAGAAAACAGAAGAAGATTATACATTTTCACACAAGTACCCATAGCAAGGCAGGAAAATAAGAACGATAATTATATGCATGCTCTCATTTCTCTATCAGAAACAGCTTTATGACACAGGATAATGACTCTATTCTAGAATTAGCTCTTTTTAAAAAATTTTTAAAGAGAAAAAAGAAAATCAGTACTGTCCTGGGTTTCCAATAAAAATAAAAATAAATAAGATTTAAAAATAAAAAAATAGAATTAGCACTGTCCAATAGCACTTATGTGATGATAGAAATATTCTATGCCTGCACTGTCAGATTGGTAGCCACTAGCCACCTACTGATATTGAGCACTTGAAATGTAGTTTGTGTGACTGAGGAACTGAATTTTAAATTTTATTTACATTTAGTAGTTACATATGGCAACTGGCTTCTACTATACTGGACAGTGCAGTTCTAGATTCTTTTTACAAGCAGCATTCTCGAGGCTAAATAAGCCCTAGTTTGGCACTGAGAAGCTTAAAACTTAAAATAGAAAAGGAAAAGAGCAGAGAATAATTTTTAACAAAATACCAGTTAAATTTGCATTCAAAAAAGTAATTTGTTCAATGAAGGAAAACTGTGTCTATTCCATATATGGAGATAAAGCTAATATGTAAACTTGTACACAAGAATAATTCGGTAGGTAGGAAGGAGTAATAAAATGCCCCCAGAGGCTTGGATTATGACTCCCCTCATGCCATTTTCTTCTGGAAAGCATGTGCATTACTTATAATCTTTGTATATTTTAACATTACAGATGTCACTCATGGTTTGAACCCAAACTAGAATTGTTCATACAAAAACAGTAAAGACAAGTGGAATAAGAGAAAAAAAAAGAGAACAAAGTTTTCAGCTTATAGGCTGGGGGGAAAAATCCTATATTTAACCATAATGCCTGATTGACACATAGACAGTATATAAGAAGTTTTATTGATTTCTGAATGAGCTCCCTAAAACAGCCCTACCTATAAGATTCAGAACTAAGGGACAAAAAAAAACCTAGCCTGAGTCTCTTGCAACCATATTTATTCAAGATAGTATAGCATAAGTAGTGCTTCTCAAAGTTTAATATGATATCATCTGAAGATCCTGTTTAAAAATGCAGGATCTGACTCAGTAGGTCTGGGTGCAGCCTGAGATTCTTCCTACCTAACAAGCTCCCAACTGATGCTAATGCTGCTGTCCACTGACAACACTTAGAATAGTAAGGGCTCTGGTACCAGGTGGTCTGAGTTTGAATCCTGGCTGAACCCACTTCACTTACTAGTTTTTTATCTTGAGCAAGTTACTTAGCCTCTAAAGGCCTCCATTTCAACTGTAAAATGGGGATAAATACTAATAAGTATCTGATTCTATAAAATTTTTGAAAAAAAAATAGACTAATACACTTAGAATGAGTGCTTGCCACAGAGTAAACAGTATATTTCTTAAATATCTCTTCAGTTCCTCAGGGCTAGAAATTAAGCTTTTTTGTATTTTGTTTTCTTGTTGTTTTCACTATTTTCTTTATACATTGAGAACAACAGGTTTTGAAGTTTAAACAAAACATAAAATTCTTTCTGTATTTTTTAGAACAGTTCAATTGTATTGTCCCTATTTACTCATAAACAAGGTTATCTTATAGCATATCTAGTCAGTAGATAGGTATGCTTATTAAACAGCATTCATAATCTACACATTTACTGTAGTAATCCAGTGGAAGTCAAACCACTGAAGCCAAATGAGAGAAGACAGTTAAAGCAGTTACAAAAACCCTATTTACATAACAATTATGATGTACTTTTAGAAGAGTATGATGAAGTTCATTTTTGAAAAGTAATTCTTTTTATAGATGAGAAAACAAGCAGTTTCAGATTTACGAACATTGAAAACTGAACTGGCACAGAAAAAAAAAATAATACATCTCTACAATCTCAATTAGGTATGTTAATTTAAAACTTTTATTTATGAAAAAATTTAAATATTTATTTGAACAGATTTGTTTAACCATTATTCTCCTTGGCAATGTTTTATATAAAGCACAAGGTTTCTCTTTCTGCACTTTCCATGTGGGTGTTATAAAATGTTTCAGGAAATATTAGATGCAATATAAAGCGAAATGATGACTGGTTATTTTTAACATTCCAAGTATTTTGCATATTATTTTACAGTGCTAATTTTATAATTTTCATTTTTAATAATCTTAAAATGTAAGAGCTAATATAACTATAAAATCTATTTGCAAAGAATAAATGTGTATTAATGAATACTAATATATTTGCATGAAAATACAGACTTCATTTAACTTAATTTGTTCACTATATCTTAATTAAAAGAAATCTGGCAACACAAAAGAATAGGGGGTATTGAACTTGCATTCTGAGCTATGATAAAGATAAGCATCTAAGAATTTAAATTTTTTAATTCATTTATTTTAGAAATATGAAGACAATAGTGGTCCAACATATAGTATGAAAATGGTTGATTTTACTCTGTCACAAACAATTGTGTAAATAGGAAATGTAATATTCTCATAACAGATGGTTCAATCATCATTTATTCCAATTTACAGGGGGAAAATGTGCAGGGAAGCCAGGATTTATGTAAATCTAGAGTTCAAAGATACAGATTTTTAAATCTGTAATTAGGAACTAATAAGGGCAGCACAATGTTGTTAATTCCCTGGAGAAAGAAAACAGACTTTATTACATTTAGAAAAGTTATTTGTATAAAATTGATCTTTTAGAAAGAGAACTAGTTGAGAAGCTAATCATTGTCTTTAGATCATTAAAAATACAATGCAGCTCATGCCTGTAATCCCAGTTCTTTGGGAAGCCAAGGCAGGATGAGTGCTTGAGCCCAGGAGTTGGAGACCCACCTGGGCAACATAGCAAGACCCTGTCTCTCTACAAAAAATAAAAATAAAAAAGATACATTGCAGATGTAGAAAGAAAAATTTAACCTTGTAAAGAAAGCTAGCCAAGAAATAAATTATACATGTCCATAAATGAAGGAATATGAATAATTAGAAGTGTGACAGTGAATAGAATCAAGTTCAACTGCAAGTTATTCCTATTATAAAAATTTTACGGATGAACCTCATAAAAATAATGTAGTTGGAAAATACTAGGTAGTTCTAACTTACCAATTCAAAATATTACTGTTATATTCTTGTATTTTGTGAATACATTTAATCTTCTGGATTCTTTTTAATTCTCACTCACTGTCCAAAGGTTTAGTTCAAGTACCTCAGAGAACATAAATACTATATGGGGTCAGGAAGCAGAAAAATTATTTTCATCAGTTTGATGAACCTAAAGAGGAGACACTAAATTGTAGGTTTTAAATTTAAGATTTATTGGAGGGTTGGGGGAAAAGTATAGCACAAACTGCTTTTCAAAGACTAGGTTTTTAAAAACTCTAAGCAAACAATTTCCACTTCAGATTATACATATTTTAAAAATCAACATTGATTCATAAGCTTATATTTTACTATAATGAAGGGAAATATGGCATAATAAAATTCTGAAAGCGATTTTTCCCAATTAAATTATAGTGTTGAAACATCTAATAGAGGAATACTTAACAGGTAAAGTTGACTTGTTTCTTGCCTTTATATTCCTGGATACTGATGACATTCGTATATATTTTTCGAATTCAAACAATCAACATTTCTTTATTCTTTTTTTAGTATACCAATAACAAAAGTATATAGCAACATAACAAAAATGCAAGAAACTAGATCTATTTATACAGATCATTTTTCTAAATCTTAATGGTTTGACAAAAGATGTTCATCTTTGTAACAGCTTTGGCTTTAAGACTTCCCACATTTCTTCAGTTTGCTGTTTGGCTACAGCATCTCCAGAGTAGTCAAGACAGTTTGCATTCCACATGCCGATGCCCCGTAAGCCATAGTTTTGTATATATGTTGCCTTTAAAGAAATACTGTGAGGGTTATCATACCATACTTGATGAAAGTGGCCAGCAGGATCCTATATAAATAAATTAAAATGGAGATTTTAAAGTATTTAGTACAATTCAGCACCTAGGAAAGGGAAAAATAAAAGAAGTATACAGTACAGTAAGAGGGAAATGCTCTGGTCCTCTACAACCAGCTTATGTGCTTTTTTGTATTCTCTGTAGTTGCTAGAAGTGTGCCTAGCTAGGAGCTCTACAGAAGATTTTGTTTATGATGAATCAGCCAGATCAAAAGGTAATGGCAATGGAGGAGAAAAGTACATCCTTTTCTAGGTCCTAAGGATTCATTCTAAGAGTCTGTTAGGTCTGCCCTTCATTGGTGACTTAACACACACCTGATTATGAGCCATAAATTAGATTCTGGTCTTATGCTCACCTTCCACCCTAAAAAGTCCTTCTGCCCAGAATCAAATACCTATATTTAAGTACTAACACAGTCTCTCTCGGGAGGCACATGAGCTATTGGATAAGAGACAAAGGAAAAGGGAAAGGAGATCTAGGACAAAGTGCAAAGGAAGGTGAAAAAGATAGGAGATAAAAAATAGAAAGACCTGTGACTAAAAATAATTTACTTATTTTTATATACATCTAGGAAAAACTCCTTAAAGACATTTCTGAATTAATGCCAGTAATATTTACAGCATCTCTCCTGGAATTAGAATAGTCTCTTAAGAACATAAAGTATAATTTAAAAAAAAAAAAAAAAGCATAAAAAAGAAGATTACTTTGGGGCCAGGCGCGGTGGCTCACGCCTGTAATACCAGCACTTGGGGAGGCCGAGGCAGGCAGCTCATGAGGTCGAAAGATCAAGACCATCCTGGCCAACATGGTGAAACTCCGTCTCTACTAAAAATACAAAAAAATTAGCCGGGCTTGATGGTGCATGCCTGTAGTCCCAGCTACTCTGGAGGCTGAGGCAGAAGAATTGCTTGAACCCGGGAGACGGAGGTTGCAGTGAGCTGAGAACGTGCCACTGCACTCCAGCCTGGAGACAGAGCAAAAAAAAAAAAAAAAAGACCACTTTGAAGGAAAACAATTCACCTAGTAAATGAATACACTGCAGTATATTTAAATATAGTAGACTAACTGTAATCAAGCATATCTCAGTCTATATCTTATGTTCCATTCTTTAACATTTTTAGAACTAGACAAAGCCATGCATGCTCTACTAATAGCTGTGATTCATTATTTAAAGGCAACTTGTAGAACTTGTACTTAAATATGACAGATTGTTGAAGATTCAGGGGCAAACACAAAGACATATACCTTTGAATTTTGCCATCATTCTAGCTAGTACTTTGAGACTTTTTGATATTATTAAGAAATTCAAATGTCTCAAAACTGTGAAGGATCAAAGGGCAAAAACTAAGCACATGTAAGACTAATTTATGCATAGTTAAGGCATATTTGCTTTCCAGAGTATTGAGTCCAAAATGAGCTGCTATTGCTGAAACAGCCCAATAGAATGATTCTCTTCAAACAAAACAGAAACTTGATTCATGTTGCTATAGAATTTTGCAATTAATAAAAAAGAGGGGCCAGGCGCGGTGGCTCACACCTGTAATCCCAGCCCTTTGGGAGGCCGAGGTGGGCAGATCACAAGGTCAGGAGATCGTGACCATCCTGGCTAACACTGTGAAACCCCATCTCTATTAAAAAAAAATACAAAAAAATTAGCCGGGCGTGGTGATGGGCGCCTGTAGTCCCAGCTACTTGGGAGGCTGAGGCAGGAGAATGTCGTGAACCTGGGAGGCGGAGCTTGCAGTGAGCCAAGATCAAGCCACAGCACTCCAGCCTGGGCAAGATAGCAAGACTCCATCTCAAAAAAAAAAAGAAAAAGGAAGGAAACAGTTATAACTAGATTTTTTTTCTAAAGTGGCATTAAATGGCCTTCAATGCTCACCAAAATGTTTCCTGAATTCTAAGACCTTAAAGAATGTATTTCTTCATGGAAACAGGGTAAAAAGGTGGTACCAGAGGCTGGGGGTGGGAAGAATAGATGTTTCAAAGGACACAAATTTTCAATTAGACAGGAACAATAAATACAAGAGATCTACTGTATCCCATGGTGACTATAGTTAATAACAATGTATTATGTTGAAAATTCCTAAGAGAATGGATTTTAAGTGTTCTCACCATTTAAAAAATGGTATGTGAGGTAATACAAACGTTAAATAACTTGATTTAGCCATTTCACAATCTATAGATATATCAAAACATCATCTTGTATGCCATAAATATAGATAATTTTTACCTGCCATTGAACTTTTTTTTAATTTAAAAAAAAAAAGAGGCCAAGTGCAGTGGCTCACACCTGTAATCCCAGCATTTTGGGAGGCCAAGTCAGGAGAATCACTTGAGGCCAGGAGTTCAAGACCAGCCTGGGCAATACAGAAAGACCCCGTCTCTACAAAAAGTAAAACAATCAGCCAGGCATGATGGCACATGCCTATGGTCCTAGCTATTTGGTAGGCTGAGGCAGGAGGATTGCTTGAGCCTGGGAGGTCAAGGCTGCAGTGAGCCATGATTGTGCCACTGCACTCCATCCTGGGTGACAGAGCAAAACCTCGTCTAAAAAAAAAAAATAAAAAATAAAAAAGACTGTGTTCCTGCATTTTCACATTCATTAAGGAAAAAACAAGCCACAGATTACTAAGATCAGGATTACAAAGAAACAGTATATGGTAATATATACTGTCCTAAGATTCTATGTTAAATATTTTTAAATTACAGGCATACCTCATTTTATTGTACTTTGTTTTGTTGTGCTTTGCAGATATTAAATTTTTTGCAAATTGAAAGCTTATGGCAACTCTGTTGAACAAGTCTGTTGGTGCCATTTTTCTAACAGCAAGTGCTCATTTTGTGTCTCTGTGTCACATTTTGGCAATTCTTAAAATATTCCAAACTTTTTATTATTATTATATCTGTTATGGTGATCTGCAATCAGTGATCTTTGAT